TTGGGGCGGGTCGCCCCTGCCGCCCCCACTACGATACGCCACTGGCGTAATCATTTTTGTCAATTATGTTTCTATATTAAATTGAAATTTTATAATTTCGGCTTTCTATGTAAACTCCAAATCTCATAGAGAAAGTTTGGCAAAAATTTCGTGTAAATCGGTTGGGTCGTCAATTTGAGTTTATGTCAAGGAAATTGCAGGCTTTTCTTGTTGCAGTTTTGTAAAAAACAATTATATGTTTCTTAAATTCTGGGTTTTCTTGGAACCGTGTGTGATACCACTGGGTTTACATAACAATATTCATAAGAATATACAATCCTTATAACTGAGTTTATAGCAAAGATGTGAATTACCGTATTAATAGAGACTTGTTACTTGAAAATGTTATTTTTTGATTGATTTATTGGCAATCCCATATAAAAGAAAGTATGAAACAAAAACTAATAACCAGGATAGAGAAGAGATTGATGGACAGGTAAACTATTGCTAACATCGGAAATAAATGAACGATTTTTTTATAAGATTTTTTTGGATTTAGATAACTAGCCTTTATCCAGATTGTCCGCTCTTTCATCTCCTTGGTCTCCAAAATGGGCTTTGACCCAGCTGAACACAAGTATATTATCAAGTATATTAAATGAAATAATTAACAATGATCATATTCCCAGAATAAATGAGCTATTGGACACTTATAAGTGCGAAAATATTTTCTACTGTAGACATTTCGTCAGCCTATTGTCAGGTTCATCTTCATTCTGAAGACAAAGAATTAACTGCCTTTGTAACGAATTTTGGTCACTTCCAGTGGAATCGTCTAAAGACTTCTCTCCAAATTTTTTAGCAAATTCTCAAAAATATCCTAAATAAATATAAATTTCCTTTTTCCATCGATTATTTTGATGATTTGTTAATTTTTAGTCGGAACGTGAATGAACTCCTAAAACATTTAACTCAAGTATTTGAATTATGTTCATAGAAAGGTCTCTACCTAAATCTTACAAAGTGTCAGTTTGTTAGCTCTGAGATTAATTACTTTGGATTCAACATCAAACCAGAAAGCTATTTCTCCTTATTATCAAATATAGAAACTATATAAAAGTTAGAATGTCCAACAAATATCAAACAATTACAGCGCGATTTAGGATCCATAGACCATTACCATCGATTTTTTCCAAATTAATGCGAATTTAAAAACCCTCTAAATAAGCTTCTAAAGAAAAATAAAAATTTGGCTTGGACACCTAAATGCCAAGAATCTTTTGAGGAATTAAAACAAGCACTTATCATCAAACCCATCTTAAACATCTATACAGACATTTACTGTATATTGATGTTAGCAGAGACGATATAGGGAGTATCTTGAAATAGAACACCCTACTAAAGGTTTACTTCCTATTGTATATTTCTTCAGGTCCTTACATAAATATGAAAAAAAATACACTGTTAGTGAAAAAGATTGCCTTGATATTTTAGCATCTGTTGCAGTTGTTCCCAAACTTTATCAGTTTGCAGCGCACTTACAGTTTGTCCGGGCGCACTTGTCAAAATATGTGTACAATGATATAATTGAAACACAGAAATGAAAACAACTCTTCAGATAAACCTTACAATGTGAAGCTCACATTTATTAAAATTGAAATAAAAGAACCATCAAACTAAAATATGAAAATACAAAAAAAATATTAAATTAAATGGTAGAAACCTTCAACGACAAGTAAGTTAATGTGACGGTTGAGCTTACTGATTACCACACATTTTTTCAAAACGCCGAATAAGATTTGTCACTTCCACTCTCATTTCTCGCTCCACATCCGTTTTTGAGCGATATTTAATTTTTATTACCGTGTTTCCCCGAAAATAAGACATGCTCAGAAAATAAGATCTCGTAGCACAGGTTTTGCTGAATTGCGAAATATAAGACCTCCCCCTGAAAGTAAGACCTAGCAAAGATTTTTTAGTGGTAACGGTCATCAAAGTACAGCCACTGATTGGTCAGCAGACAATTACGTCATACAACATGATTTCCATAAGACTATGGCTTGGGAATCACAGATTTCCATAACGTTACGGCTGATGATCGCTAATTTGTCGGCCGGGAATCACGCCACATCACATTTGCATAGTGCTACAGTTCAGTAAGCACTAATTGGTCGTCGTGCCCGATGTCGACGCTATAAAAAGGTTAAGTTGAAGCGAGAATAGGAAGTCCACTCCAGCACGAGAACTTCATAAGTTCATTGCTGAGGCCTGATTGTAAGGCAATCAATGGCCTAGATCGGGCGATGAGGGCTATTTTTGTGAATGGTCGCAACTTGCTTGGCACTTCGGCTGGGAGACTTGTCTCCCATCCGTTACGGGTGCTGTATAAGAGTAGTCGTACCGGATGCCAGATCGGTTTTACCGGTTGATGCGTTAAATAAACTTTATCGACGTCTGTTCTATTTAAGTTCAGATCGACACCACCGGATATACATCACTCTTGTCTAAGTTCGACTTGGGAATTTTTTTGTTCAATAATAAATGTGAATTCTTCTTCATGGGAAAATAAGACCTAGCGTCTCTTTCACAGCAAAAATTAATATAAGACACTGTCTTATTTTCGGGGAAACACGGTACAACTAATGCTAAAAATCCGGTTTTTGAAGATACGTTGTCGCAAGGTGAATGAGAATCGTTGCAGCTTTTGAACTCAGAGTTGGATATTCATTTTTACCGATAACCAAAACGTCACTAAATCAGATGAAGTGAATTTTGCTTTCAAGCTGTTTTTGCAAGAGAGTTCAGTTAGATTCTTTTCTTCCTGCGAAGTGAATTCTGGTGGAGCTTGAGTACGGAAAGGATGTTCGATTCATGCAAATTTCTCGACATTTTCTTCTTCAAGTTATTTTGCGAACCAGTCACTAAGCTTTGAGAGTTGTTCCTTGAAAAAAAGACAGCAAGTATTGTCAAACAACGACTTTATTAAAGGTCATGTATTTGTGCAATTGAGGGAAACAATTTTGATCGACATATTCATCTTATCTATCATTATCTTACCTAAAGGTTTATAACACCGAGTGGTCAAAAAAACACATTTTAAAAAATCTTTATTCTTTTACTGTACACAATTTTAAAAACAATTTTAAATGTATTAAAATGGTCATTCAGTGAAAAAAACTCTCAGGTAAAATAACATTTGTAATTAAAAATGAAATAGGCCTACTATAAAGTAATACAGTCGACCCCCCTATAAGATAGAGATACGTTCCATTCTTTAGGAATCCGATTTCTTACGAATCCTTCCAATCACAACCCGACACGTGTCAAGTTTACGGACTACTGCTGTTTGAAAGATTTTCTTCCATAAAATTAATCGATTCTAGACTAATCCGACTCAACATTTCCAAAATACGTATATATTTTTTGGGAATAATCCGTATAAACTACGCTATAAACAAAAAATTGTAGGATTACTTACCGAGTGTCACCATTCGACATCGCCATTGCTCAACATTGTTTTCGTCGCGGAACAGCTTAGCATACAGCGGCCGATTTCTAATAACTTATTTTTCTGCGAATAGTTCCTTGAACTTCGGAGACATCATAATATAAATAATTTTAATCGCCGTTGAATAAGAAATGTTTCTTTCACAAGAAATGTATAAAGTTACAGTACTGTATTAGACTTACGGTACCAAGTTTACATACTCTACAGACAATAGTTAGCGTAAAAATCTCCGTAGGTGGCGCCACGCTAGACGGCGGAAATTATATATTTAATTATAACGAAGTTACAATAAGTTAATATATAATTATATATGCAGTACCTAATTTATATATAATTATATGTACAGTAACTAATTTATATATAATATATATAATACTGTCCAGACGATAGAAATCTCTCCGTAGCGTGGCGCTACGGACCGCGGGAAAGTAGTTCGGCTGCCCGATGACGGTTGAGGTAATTATAGGGAATTTTTACTGTTTTTTACGGATATCGGTCACAATTTTTTCATAGTTTTATAAGAATCGTAATTATAGGGATCGTAATTATAGGGGGATCGACTGTATAATAGAAGGATTAAAAGTACAAAATAATGTAATCATCTTCATCATTGCTTTTATTTTTTGCCCGAGCAACGCGGAACTAATCTGCTATTTGTTTATAAATCTAAAGAAATGCAAAATATTTTCTAACCTCTTATCAGAATCTGGAGTAGAATCGTCCGTATATAAAAAATTGTCATCGTTATCTTTATTCCATATTATGTTATAAATTAATCTAAACTAAATATATATTAGAGTAAACTTCCGTAAATGCGCGACTATTACATATGCAAAGTTCGAATTTTGTTATTCAGAAGTATACGTTTTTTACCTTTTATGCCTAGGTTTAAAGTCGCATGGCTTAAAAGGTTTAACAAGCAAATGCTGTCCACGTTTGACAAAATTCTGTACTGGTAGGATCCATATATAATCGTTTATTTCTGCTATTTCGGTAATCGATTGATAGCAAATAAAGTTTTCCAGTTGTTCCAGAAGGACCTAGAATAAACTCCATATTCAGTTGATCTGAATACCTATAATTACATTCTGCGGGGTTACATTTAAGAGAAATTGGAGAAGAAAAGCAAGAGAGCCATCACTGACTTCAAAGAAGACATTTTGAGTGTTCTTGATGAAATTGAGGGTTATAATTGAAGGTTACACCGTTGAAAAAATTGATCGAAAATTTAAAAACAAGATTACATTTAGTGGTTGGCGGAAAAATTAAGTAACATCTTTTCTGTTAATAGATAGCGCTACATGTAATGTCATGTTTACTATCATTAGATTTTGGGATAATGTATAGCTTAGTGTTGATTTTAGGATTTAAGTAACACTCCTAGAATATTCGCTCAGATCGGTTTAGGCATAAAAATTTGTATATTGGACAAACCAACAGATATAGAGTTTTAAATACATAAACATATATAATTTAACTCTTATTATTCTAACAATTGCGCAAAATTGATTAATTTCACATTATCGTAGTGCATTGTTGCTTTCTCATCTTGCCAAAATTTATAAACCGAATTAAAAAAATTTAGACTATTAACATTTGAAATGAAATCAGAAAAGGTAAGCGAAATTTTAGTTTTTTTTTCAACACCTTGCATATTATTGGGGAACATTTTTATCCAAAATTCTATCGAAAAAAAAATTTGAAATTCTAATGTCACTTCGAATATATATGTATATTTTATTACTATCTTTTTATATAACTACAAATTATTTATGGTAATAATGAGCGAAAATTTTAATAACGTATAATAATTATAATACGAATATCTTTAAAAAGGATGAAGAAAGGAAACATGAATGCACTGAATGTGGACAAACTTCTAAGACAAAACACCACTTAAAATATCATATGAGAACTCATACTGGAGAAAAGCCGTATGCTTGCGATGATTGCGGCAAAAGATTTTCGCAGCCTGGAAATTTAACAAGACACAAAAAAGTACACTCAGACAAACGAGAATTCAAATGCAGCTATAAAAACTGCGCATATAGTAGTAACTATAGAACGAATTTTCAAAGACACGTCAATCGAATACATTTACAAACAAGTTCTTCTCAAGTAATTCTTTACTCTTCTAATTTCTAAATCGATAAAGTTTACTTTTAAAAGTATAAATCATAATTACATGATAGGATGTACAAGACATTTAATGAATTATGTATTTAATAATAAACAAATATGCTGTAATTTACAATTTATGAGAAAAATATATAATATATCTATTATATTTCTAAAAGACTAAAATATTTGGCTCGTTATCACTGTTATATTTTGAATTAAAATTCAAAATTTACAATCGATCAAATCAAATACTAAAATTTTCACTTTTAAATACTCTGATAAGTCAATAAACATACGAATTAAATAATTATATATCAACATATACATTCCAAAATAACACGTTAAATTTCAGTAAACGTGGATATTAGTTAAATATAGTTTAAATTATACTTATAATATATTGTTATAACTTCTTTCCCTGTTTCCTTTCAAATACTTAAGCAGTCTTGTTTCTTGTAAAAATCGAATAAATCGTTAATTATAGTACAGTTTCTTTCAATAAAGGCCACACGATGTTTTCATAAAATCTATTACATCACATGATGCAAAAAGTTGTAAACTTTAAGGAATCAAGTACGAATTTATTCGAAAGAAAATTCTCCAACTTTATTCCACATTGGAATATTTTGGTAGATATTTAAAATCAATTCATATTGATACATTGAAAATGATTATCGTGTTAAACTATAGTCGATCAAAAGTAAAATTAGAATACTTTACTATGTAAAAGTACTCACTTCTATTAATTACAATAGTAAACTAAAACAATAAATTATAAATTCCATTCTATAAATCTATGTTCAGAAAATAATTTTTTGAATGATGCAGTTGACCTTAATTATGATTTGAATTTATAGTGATAGTCATTTTAGTTTAATTAATTGAATAAGATTATAATATACATTTTTGAATACTTAGTCAAGCGTAGAATATATTCAAGATGAATATGAAAAGGTAGACAAATATCAGAAAGCAGCAATGGAAAAACCATCAACGAGTGGACAAAGATTTCAATCAGTAGACTATGAAGAAAAAACTGAAATTCTGAATAGAGAGGAATTTTTAGACATGAATGAACTAGAACCTTTACCAGAATTGGAAATATTATCAGAAGTGATAGTTGAAGGAGTCGAACTAGAATGTCACATCTGTCAAAAGAAATTTGACAACGAAGAATCTCGTAGAGAACACGAAACAAAATTTCATACATTTATTGTTTTAAAATAAAAGTGAGGTTGAAATTTCGATTAAACATATTTATCTTTATTATATTTTCTATTAAATACATTTATGCTCTTCAAATTGTTTAACCACTCAACATTGAAAGACGTATATATACGTCCAGGGCAATCGTGTGGTAGTAGGGAGAGGCGTGTATATACGTTAAATTCTTTTGGGGGTATCGTCAAAAACTAGACAAAAACTACCGCGAAAAAAATTCACATAAAAAAAAATTATGTAACAATAAAAAACGTCTTTTCTTTACTAGACATTACTGTTTACAACATTTTTTTCCGAAACAGTAACGAGAAGAAACGCGTGGATTATTACTCTAAAAATTTCGCACGTTTATTTTCCACTAAAAAAAAGGGTAGCACCATACCCAACTATTCCACTTTTGAAAGATTAATTATATTTACGTTCGACCGAATTAAAGTATATTGTTTCTATCTTTGTACGTTTTATTGTATTTAAAATTTTAAGCACTTCCATACTACTTCAAGTAAAGAAGAGGGAAAAAAAACATTTCGAAATGTATAAAATTAATTTAAAATATGGACAAACAAGTCTGTAGTTGATAATAAAAAATACAGCGATGTTGTATTATTGCCCACTTCATTTCAGAAGTTATATTAAGTTTTATGTAAAAAAATATTGCAGCTTTTTTGGAGATTATTTTACTTTGTAATTGTTTACATTTCGAGACAAATATATAAAAATAAAACCTAAAATTTGACACATTACCTAAGAAAACATCATGTTTCGAAAGAGATACTCTGATTTACTATAGGGATTTCGGAAACAGTGAAATCGTCCCCGAAACATCGGAAATCTGATTCCTATAACGGTTCCGCTGAAAGTGAAAAAGTTATTAACTGACATTTGTCAGTTAATGACTTTTTAATGTGTCAAATTTATGTGTCATGTTAATGTGTCAAATTTGTCAGTTAATGACTTTTTCACTTTGAGAGGAACCGTAGCTGTCACTCTAAATGAGAAGAATTATTCGTAACTATGAGAAGAAAAAATGGACCGAACGTGATTGCACTGAAGCGTCATTAACTGAACGTGATTAATCGTGAAGCGTCATTAACTGATTTTCATTTGTCATTAACTGACAAATGTCAGTTAATGACAAATGTCAGTTAATGACAAATGAAAAATGGACCAAACGTGATTGCAACATACACTCTAAATGGGTGCAATTAATATAAAATATTAATAAGGTTGTTCGATTTATTATCGTTTCTTCTAAACACTTTTAATTTCTCTCGAAATTCGAACAAATTTTTTTTTTTAAACAAGTTCTCATAGCCACCGACGAATCGTTCAAAAGTGGTACATAAAATAAAATGAATATATTAACGTTTTACTGCATTAATCGTTGACTTCAATTTGAGAATATGAAAATATATTGATAACAAAAAGTTTTTCAATTTGTATATTTTTATGCAAATCCCGTTTCAAATATCTACATGAATAGTGTATGCATCAAGTATAATTATTATATCAAATATAAAATAATTTATAATTTATTTTTATAATTATAAATTTCGGAAATAAATATTTGAAAAAGTTACGAATTATAATCATCGTTGAGATAACATTTGTTTATGCAATTATTTAATATCTATGTTAACGTGATTTTAATAGAAGTTAAGATTGATTAAATAATTAATGTTTTATGACTTTATATATTATAATATTTAAATTATTGTTAAAACAAAAAATATTTTTTCATTTGAAAGTTTTGTGTATACATTATACAAAGTGCTAAAAAGTGTTACTTCGATTGGAATTTTTTGTGAATATGTTAAACAATTAAAGCAAACAACCGCAAAAGACTGTATCTTCTGCGACATTTTCATTAATTTTTGAAACTTTTAAATTAAATGCAAATTCCCTTTCAGTAAACTGGATTGATAAAAATTCATTTTTTATAATTCAATCAGTGCGTAGTCTTTATTATTTTCTGATTGAGAAGTAATAAAAAAAAGCCCAATAGCCAAGTAGAGGAGAAAGTACAATTAATTTAGTATATTTTATTTCATATTTTAATAATTTCTTAAAACTTTTTTTAGATGTTATTCATTTTTAAATGAAAAATGCTATGAAATATATTATAATTTATTATATAAAATATTTTATATAATTAATTTAAAAAGCGCTGGATTCATTTTAAAATGCAATGTAATTACATGTCGCTACGTACAAATAAAGACACGTATTTGCATTTGTATATTTGTAGGTATAGTATATTTGTATGTAGTATATAAATCTGTACATAGTATATAAAAATATAACAAATATACTAATAAACTATAAATAAATATATAAACTACGTATAAAAATTTCTGTATATAGTATATTTGTATGTATACGTACCGAAATGTTATCTCCTCTGTCATATGTTGGGACAACCTCTCACCTCCATCATAAATGTAAGTACAGTAATACCCCGAACTTACGCGATAGGTGGGACCGAGCGATATCCGCGTGAGTCGAATTCGCGTCGAATTCGCGTAGGTCGAAGTATAATTTGGCATATAAATACATACAAATTATTTTTAATTGGGGCCGGAGACTAAAGAAAACAATAATTTAGAAAAAAAAAAAACGTTTTCAAAAGTCTTTAACAGAAAGCTCGTTGTTTAGATTTGATGTCCTGGTGCGTTGTCGATTATTAACATCACTTTAAATGGAATTTGTTTAGATTGGCAATAACGTTCGATTTCAGGTATGAAGTGATGACCAAACCAGTCCTTAAAAAGGGAAGCTGCCACCCAAGCTTTACGATTCGACTTCCAAATCACAGGCAAGCCAGCTTTAGATTTTTTTTAATGCTCTTGGATTTTCCGAGCGATAAACTAAGAGAGGTTTTAACTTACAATCACCAGCAGCATTCATGCCAATCATCACTGTCAATCGATCTTTGGCGGCCTTAAAACCTGGAAAGGTTTCTCTTCACGAGCGATAAACGTTCTTTTAGGCATCTTCTTCCAGAACAGGCCAGTCTCATCTACGGTGAATATGGTTTGGTTGGTATAGCCACCTTTATCTATCATAGCTTTGAATTTCTGTGGATAGTAAGACGCAGCCTCTTTATCAGCACTTGCCTCCTCTCCACTTTCTGCAATGCTATGCCAATTACAGCGACTTTTGAATTGGCTGAATCAACCGTTACTAGCTTTAAACTCTTCGTCTTTAGCCACTTCTCTAGCATCCTCTTTCAATCTCTCAAAAACCAGCTTAGCTAGAGAGCACACCGTGTTCTGATCAACAAAACAATTTTTCACATTTACTTGATTATCACACCATAATTTTAACATTGTTTCCACTTCAGCGATAATACCGTGAAGTTTACGAATGATGCTTGAGTTTAAAGATTGAGCATTTTTCACAGCTTCGATAATTTTTTCTTTATCTTTTAATAGTTGTGCTGACCGTCGATTCCGGTAGATCAAACTTCTTTGCCAATTCACAAATTTTCATTTTTGTATCGAAGTCTTTAATAATGTTAACTTTACATTCCAAAGATAAAGTTTTTCTTTTCTTGCTTGATGCAGAAGAATCAGTTCTACCTAGTTTGAATGACATAGTAGAGTCTCTCAAGTCTCCGTAGATATAACAAACACAGAAATAAATAACACAAAATAAATTGTAGCTATGGATCGATTCCGAGCGACACGTCCGAACATGTAAGCTGAACAATAGTGTGGGGGGAGTGAGTAATCAAGAGTTGCATAGCGCTCAAACAAAAGAGAAATCGACGAGATTTGAAAATCGCGTAACTCCGGGTTCGCGTAAGTCTGGGTAGCGTAAGTCGAGGTATTATTGTAGAAGGAGAGAAGGAAGAAACAATTACAAAGAAAACATTACGTGGAAGCAATGGAAGAATAACGTTTTTTTCAAGAGCCTTAAATTTTGTTAAAACAAAGTTATTTTATAAAACTGTTCTTAGATTTTAAAGATTTTTTATAATAAAATAGAAAAATTGTATGGTACAATGGGTAAAAAATTTCGTTTTGTTACCTGGAGTAAAATTAAAATGTAAATTTAACAACAACTGAAAAGAATTTACTTTTTAAAATATGTTTCATGTACTCGAAATCATATTATTTCTGTTACTTCATTTATAGTCGTTATATCTATATTACTTAATTCCGTGTGCTGCAGAAAGTACGTAACTCTGTCATTATGAAATGGAGAAACAATTCTATCGATAATTAAAAGTTACTTAGTAAATAATAGTTTCTAAACGAGATACATTCGAAATTAAATATTGATTTTCATATGTAGTTTATAGGGAATAAGTAGATTAATATTTGTATATAGAAAAGAATTTAAAAATTTTGTAATCAATAATTTAATCTCGTAATGAAATTTGTGTTTCATTTTATCTCGATCTGTCGTTCCACAGACTGTCTAATCATTACTTAATCTGAAAATTCAATTGATTCAAACTATTCAAATGTAAGTTTGCTGGAGATTTTTGTATTTAATATTAATTAGAGTAATTAATTGATTAACGTTAGACACTACCAAATAAGGATTAATAAGAGATAGATAAAGAACAACGACATTGTCTTTACAATTAGTTATGAGGCTCTGAACATAATTATAATCTCATTACATCATGCGATAGGCAGACATTTTGACAAATGATCATAAGGTTTATATTATAGGAAATTTCTTATTCTAAAATACTTTAAATCAATAATAAAGATGCCAAGGCAGTTAAGCAGATGCTTGCTTTAAATTCAATTGTGAGCCCAGCGCTAGGGTAATCTTTTTTATTCTTCTCAAATACATATATCTAACACCGCATTGTAATTTTGTGATATATTAAAATGTTTATAGATATGCGTGTAACATCTTTTAAATTTTGATATCTCTCTAAAATTTCATTTTTAACGTCTCTAATGAAAAATATATTGTAGGCCTATATTTAGACACAAGTCTTTAATCTTTACTTATACAAATTTAGATAATTAGGATAAACGAATAA